GGGAAGGGCAAAAGTGTCCTGTAGCCCCCCTATATACTACTTTTAATATTAATTTAATTTTGATTAAGCATTTAGAAAGTTTTTTTTAATCATAAATTTAAGTTCTTACAGTGTATTTGAATAATAAAATAAAAAAATCAGATTTTTTTAAAACATTCAAATTTTTCACATTATTTCCATTCCACATTATTTCCAGTTTTGAGTTTCTCTTTTTGACTGACATAATTATGCATGATGTATCAAAACTTTACTCGTGGCCTAAATAAATTTCACTAGTAAAATCTCCATTATTTTATTTCTTCAATGTATATATTAAGTACTCTTATTTTTTCTACTGTAACCTAACTACTTGAAATGACAACAATGTTTGTGACTTTACTTTTTTCTTTTCTTCTGGAATCGTAAAATGTTTCTAAAATATATTTCAGAATTTCTGATCCAACAGCTACAAAACCTGATGATTGGTATGTATTGATTGGTTAAAGAAATTTTTTTTTTTAATTATTATTTCCCACTTAATTTTAGCGCACATAATCGCCAAATAATACCTGCTATAAATTTAATTTTTAATTTTAAGGGATGAAGAAGCTCCAAGACAAATTGTTGACCCTGATGCTAAAAAACCTGATGGTTGGTTAGATGATGAACCAGAATTATTACCTGACCCTAAGGCAGAGAAACCCATGGACTGGTTAGTCTTTGTGTATATTCTATAAAGAGATGGAAAAATTTAATAATGTGACACCAAAGATACTATTATTCATAATTACATTGCTCAATCTGTCTATACTGTTAATATGAACTTACGCTCAATCAATCTGTCAATACTCACGGATCTGTCCAAGCCAAATTTACTACCGTTTAGCGGTACCTTCACAAATTCAACTTTAGGAAAAACGGCAGTTTCACGAAATACTTTTTCTTGAAATTTTATTTTTGTGTCTCCTAAGAAACGATAAATAGATATTTTTGTGTTGATTTTTTAATATAAGTTTTTAATTTTCACAAATTATGTCTAAATTTTCACAAAATAGGTACCTCTCAGAAAAACCTAGACAGACCCCTGATACTGTTAATATGAATACTAACCAAAATCGGCAATACTCTAGAACAACTGCTTACAAAAGGTGTTTCGCAAAACCCTGAGGCTCTGCAGCGGGATGACAGGCATTCCGAAAGTTGGTTTTCTGTCAGAAATAATATTTATATCCTGTTTGAATTATTTATTTAATATTTCGCTTATTTATATGAACTTCTTTGCATATTTAAGAAGTGCTTAAAGCTGCTTATTTTTGATTTTGGTTTATTAAAAGCCCTTAAAGGGGATTATTTATTTTATTTATTTATTTTTTTTTTTTTCATTTTTAAAAAGTACTTAATTTTCCCTTTTCGAAAAGAAAAAAATTTTTCTTTACCATGTCAATTTTTGCTGCGTATTATGCAAAATTTTGATTTTCACATTGTTCTATTCAACGTTTTCACAATTCATTTAACCACAATCCATTATGGCATAGTGTCCGTTCATAACGTATGATAACTCCAATCACATTACATGTTTGATGAAATATTTAGGAGTGACTACTGAGCTGGGTTCAGTGAGATTCTTACACTCTCGTGTGTAACTTGGCTGCATTTTGCAAGATATTCTCACTTTCGGTCTTCATTTTCCACTCTCAGAAATGTAACTGAAAAATCTCTCGAATTTTTTTATTGTGGATAAGTTATTTCATAATGATCATGTTAAATCTTTTAAAATTATTTTGCATTTTATTGATGTACATAGTGCTTAAAAAAAATTTTGAGTACCGTCAGATGGGGTGACTTTGTGTAAACAGTCATTTTTTCAATTACTAACATTATAATAGTTTAAAACAAAAAATTATGCATGATTTGTTATCTCAATTGATAGGACATTTAAAGTATGGCCAAGATAACTAGAACTTCTTCAACCAAGCAGACTTTCCAGCCTCCGATTTTGCGACATTCCCAAACTCCTAACTTTTATCATAAAATTATTCAAATTAATGACTGAAAAATATGTAGTAGCAAAAAATGTGTTAATTTTTATTACTCCTCGTCTTGCGTACAAAGAAAAATTCGTACTCTTTAGCTGATGAGCAATCCTCAACATCAGATTTGGAAACACTTCCCGACCCTCAGATAATTTTTCCTGAATTTCTGTTATTCCGTTTGATAAGCCTGTCTAACCTGCCATTCAAGCACATAAAAGTAGTCTCACAAAATCGCTTAGCAAATTCATCAACATTTGTTCAGATACTGGATGATTACGGCTTCTTCAAATGCTGTACAACTTTAGTAATGCTTCTTCAACATCCTTGTGATCTGCTTTTCTCAAATTTTTTCTGCCATCTAAATTTTTTTCATGAGCAGAAATTATTAATTGCCTATTTTTCCATACGTTACAAACTGCAGATTTGGATAGTTTAGATTTCCTGCAAATATCAGCTTAATTGCAACCATTTTCAATTTTTCTGATTATGTCCATTTTATCATCAATGGAGAACGTTTTACGTTTACTGTTTACCATAGTTAAATTTGAGACTTGTTCGCAGGCTTTTTTTTTTTAACTGAACTGAGATCAAAAAGGAGTGGAAGTGAGGGCCTTATCAACACAAATTAGTTTTCAACCTTTTGACCAATAATGAATAATTACTCATTCCCTCTGACAGAAAATGCATATTGATCCCACTGACACCTTACAGGTGCATCATCAGGCTGGGTTGGAAACATCTGCTTGGTTTGTTTAGGGATGAGAAAGTGAGATAAAAGAAGCAAACAAGAAAAAATGCTTATCGCTACATTCCCCTCTATAGATGGTTTTAAAAATAGATATATGTATTTACTTTGAAGTAGAAATTTCAAAATTATTACAAAAAAATTAAGAAAAAAATCTGTCGAAGACAGAAAAAAGTTCGCTATATCCAACTTCCTCACTTTTTTGGTTCACTATATCCACGAAAAATAACATTATACGTGTATAGCAAGGCACGGGACTGAACATTTCATTCACTATAGCGGGATTTGACTGTATATTGTTAGAATCTTTGCCCAATTTGCAAGAAAAAAATATGTACCTATTTAGGGTTTTAAGTTAATATTTATTGTTCGAACTACTTACTGTTTTTCCATTTTTAATATTGTCATTGGACCTAGTAAACTTGCAAGTATTTTTGTTTCTAATGTAATATCCATTACTATAGGGATGATGAAATGGACGGAGAATGGGAAGCACCACTAATAAGTAAGTCCTTTTAAATCTACACTGACCATCCTTTAATATGTATTTGTTAATTTAAAATTAATTCTATCACTCTATGATTTAATGCATTAATCACACTCACCTATTGATTGAACTTTTATTACAAATTAATGCTGGGAGCATATTGAAACTTCCCCCCCTCCAAAAAAAAAAAGGCAGTGTCATACCACCCTTTAATAGTTTTATATTCCATGAAAAGCTAAGGAATTAAATTTAATGTAGTGAGCTCTTTTTTTATATTATATTATTTCTTATCAGGAGCACTTTTTTTAAAGCAACAAATACCATTTTTATAATAAATTGGATGTGTTTTTATTTTTTTTTATTTTTTTAAGCATGCTTATGATTGAACTTGTTAAGATAAAAAGAGAAGCATGATTTATTGTGTAGTTAAATCTCCAACAAAGACCTCTATGTAGCAGCCATCTCTATTTACAATCATTTTTATGAGGGCATGTAATTTTTTATACACACTTTGTGTTGAAAAGGAACCATCAAAACTTCTGCATCTAACGTAAAAAAGGTCAAATAAGGAAACTTGAAAAATATTAACGGACCAAATTAAATTTAAATGCATTCAAAATATTTGCATGGGGGTTTTATTTAGAAGGCTCTTTTTGACGATCTCACATTGCAGTCAGAGTGCACTAAAGATGATGCTATCAATGATTTATTTTTAGAGTTGAAAGTTAAATTAGAAAAAAAAATAATTTAGAAAAATCAAACATCTCAAAAAAGCCTCATCTCATTTTTTAAAGTAACTAATTTTTATGATATAAAATTAAATGCAAACTTAAACAGAAGACATAACCGTTCATTTATTTAAAATAGTTATATCATCCGTAATTATTTTATTTTATAACCATCGTTAAACAGTCAACCCAATTTTTGGGTTTACAATTACTTATATGCTCAACTCCGTAGCCTTGTAATTTAGAACCCAATCCAGAAGACAAGGACACTCCTGGTATTGGTCAAAATTTGCCTTCGTGGAGGTCTTTTTGATAGAACTAACCTGCATTTGTGTTAATGGAGAGAAAAACCACGAAAGCCCTCCACGGTTAACCTGAAGGTAGGGGAACTCTAACCAATGATCCATCTACCCCTGAGGATATTTTATGTCAACACTGTGGTTGATGCGAGTCAGGTTCGGAATTCTTATTGACCAGCCATCGTTGGGATTAGAACCCAGTTTACCTCATTTGGAGGTGAATTCTCTAACCCCTGAGCTATCATGGCTCATCATCCATAATTATAGTAAATTTGTTTTAATCATAATTATATCCGTATGGATCATTTTTATTGATGCTAAATTTTATTAGTCTCATTTAGTGGCATTTCCACACCAAGGAAATGACATTGACTAAAATTAAAATTGTTTCCAAAAATCATTTATTTTCGATAACATTTTGTAACCAATGGATAAGAATTAGGGCTGTTTAAAAAAAACTGACCAATCTTACAAAAATGTCTAATTATGAAAAGCATTAAGTGATTTTTTAAACAACATTCTTTAAAAACAAAAAGTCGTCTTCAATTATTAAGTATATGTGAAAAGGGGTAGATGTATATATAAACAAAGTGTGAATGTCTCTCTTTCCTTCTGAAAATGGTTAACAGAAACCATTTTTAGCCAAAAAGAATTAAAGCATATGAAGGGTTTTCTGAAACATGTTACAAGGTATATTCATACCTGCCAAGTCTCCTGTTTTTTAACAAAGACTCCTGAATTTTATGACTATCTTTAGTTTTCCTGTGTATTCTCAAATTTCTTAGTATTTGTTCAAGAAATTTTTTTTAAAAATTTTGTCCGTAAAATATCTGTTAATGACAAAAACAATTCTCTACTTCCTCAATGGATAGTGCTATTGCCAGTACTGAAGTATGTTGAGAGTTAATAGTTTAAGTACCTCTTGCCGGTTAGGCTGATTCTGGGAGGTTCTCGTGGTCTTCCTCTCCATGTAACGCAAATTCGGAGTAGCACCGTCAAAAAATCCTCCATGGAATCTCTCCCAATATTAGATTCAGAAGTTCCCTTGTCTTCTAGATTGAGTTCAAAATTACAAGGCTACGGAGTATAACATAAGTTGCCGTAAACCCTAAATTGGGCCAGCTGTTCAACATTGGTTATAAAATAAACTAGTTTATGTAATTATAAATAATGGTTTTAAAAAATCTTCTCTAGATTAAGATTTATATACATATTTTTTACTTCACTAAATGCAAGTGCTTATATTAATTCCAATTTTAAATTTTTTCTTTTTGACTTGCATGATGCATTAAAACACTTTACTCGTAGCCTAAAAAATGTCGCTAGTAAAATCTCCAATATTTTATTTCCACAACGTTGGTAGGTTTGTATATTTCATAATTTGAATGCAATTTGATTAGTTTTGTTGAGAATTCTAGTTCATTCTAGTATTTTTAATTTTGTTCTTGAAATTTTTTTAATGTTGCATTATTACTCAGAAAGATTTAGATTAATGATTCTGCAATTAATTTAAGAAATACTATATGAAACAAATGTATCTTTCACTAGGCAATAATGATATTTCTCTTTATTTATTAAATATACTTATTCTTGCCAAGTATATTGTCTTCGTTGCAATATCAAGATGAAGAAAAAAACTGACGATCAAGAGGGCAGAACAGTTTATATCCATGAAAACTGGTTTTGAGAAAAACAATGGAAGCCTGCATTTCAAAACCTGTCTTTCCATAGAACATCTTCACTGTGTCATAACTTTTTGGGAGAACAGAGTATCTATTATTTATTTTTTGAATTTAATAATTCTCAAAAAGCAAAGAGTGGCAATTCAATCAGCAATCTTTTGAAAAAATAAGCATAAACCTCCCTCCTTGACTTACTTCTAGAAAGACAATGCTTGATGTGGCAAATTTGTAACTTTTTAAACGATTGACCGTAAATTCCGTTCTGAGTTAAATCTAGGTGTTTTCTTGTGCAGAAAGCAGTGTCTGGGAAAGAAATATTTATATGACTGGACTTTTGGTAGTCAAAATGTTGCACTAGGAATTCTTATTATTTTTAAATTTATTTAAAATTAAAATATTTCAGCTAACCCTAAATGCGAAAAAGTCGGTTGTGGAAAATGGAAGGCTCCTATGATTGATAATCCCAAATACAAAGGAAAATGGAGGGCACCTCTGATTGATAATCCTAATTATAAGGTATGATTTCGAAATATATACTTGTATCGTTTTTAATAAAATATTTCAGATTTTTCTTTAAAAAGTATTCGTAATCGTCATTTTTACTATCTTTTGAAAATTTTGTACTCCTGTAGATTTCTTTTCTGCAAAGTGAAATAAATATTACAAATTTTATCTTTAATTATTGTAAATTAAAACATTTAAACAATTTAATCACTATAACTTAAATATTGCAAATTTAAACTAGATAAATTTTTCTTCTTTCTTTTCTGGAAAATGTATTTATGTGTAAAAGTGATAAATTTATTTATTTTTCTTAATGAAGTTTAACAAAGTCAAAATTTATTTCAAAAGGGCTAGAAAAAAAGTTACCGGAAATCAAATTTTCAAAGGTGGAACTTAAAAACACAGTGTATTTTATTTGTTTGTAAGGGAGAGCCAGAGAGATACTTTATAAGCTTATATTCATGATTAATTTTCATTTTTTATCAGTAAATAGTTATTATAATCATGAACTCAAGAAAGAAAGACATATTTGTAAATTTTAATTACTTCTCCAGGTATGTGTAAAATTTTAAATATATTTTAAGTAAACCAAGAAATATTGAGAAAAAAGGGAAAAAAACCTTGTTAAAATCTTTTTCTAATTTTTCAATTTAAACTTTTTTTTTTCATAGGAATTTTCCGGAATTTTGACTTGAGCTCACAATCACTCCTGTACTATACATGTTTTTATTCTTAACAATTTTAAATAAATGTCACTTTTACATAATTTTTTTTTTTTTTTTTTTTTTTTTTTTTTTTTTTTTTTTACAAATATAAGATAATGTTTAATAAATATAACAAATGTTAAATAACATTACTATATATAATTTTTATTTTAAATTTGTTGAATAACTTCTAAATCATTATTACATTTTCCATTCATACTTTGATTTACAATACGAGTTTCCTTTCTCTCAAACTTTGCCTATTATTTAAAACATTTTAAGTATTACCTTTTTTTTGCATAGTTTTAGATGCTTTGATTTTTAAAATAGAATAGCTAAATATTTAACATTTTAAAATGTTGAAAACCAGTTTTTTTTTTTTAGATTTAACTCTGTAACTTTCTTTTTAATTATGATTCTAATTGTGGAATGTTCTGTATTTTCTTCTTCATTTAGTCTTATTTTGTATTTTTTTTTCTTTACCTTGGCTTTATCATTTAATTTTATTTCATAGGGTAAATGGAAGCCTAAAAGAATTCCTAATCCTCATTATTTTCAAGACAAACATCCATACAAAATGACTCCTATAGTAAGTGCTTTTCTTGATTATTATCTTTTGGTAAAACAGTGTTTGATTCTCCTTTGTTTATTGTTACAGGGGTTCTTAAATCCTCAAAAATATTTTTCTGTAAAATTTTAACGTAATCCACTGACGAATTATTTGCTATTGTAATAATGTTGATAATATTGTATTGAGATTTTAGTTATTTCATTTTAGTACAAACCTTGTAATACAGGTATGAAATCTTTTGAATTTTTTTACATATAGTTTTCTTTTCTAATATGGCTTTGAACAACTTGAAATTGTTGCAAAATCTTTCATTTTTGCTTATTGAATGTTTTAAGGTTTAGTGGATGTGGAATTTGTGTTTCTTAATTTAGTTTGTATACTTATAGAGAAAGAAAATAGATTTAAATAAAAGGAAAAAGCGCAAGAATTCTCAAAAACTATAGGACAATTTTAAGAAAAACATATTTAAAAAAGTTACATTTCTTTTTTAAAAAATTATAAGAAATTCACTCAATAAATATTAAAGTGGTTTATGTACCACTCATCACGATTTGAGACTTGTTACTTTGAGTAATTTTCAAACTGTATCATTTGCAATTCATATTGTTTTGTATTATGAAACCTAAGTTGAGTTTAAATTTGCAAATGATACGATATGATGCTTAATTTGTGGAATCTTCAAAGCTTGTTTCATGTCATTTGATTTATGTGTAGTTTATTTTAATTTGTTTACACACGATTTAAAAATTAGTTAATTGTATTTACGCAATTTAAAAAAATACGCTCTGGGATTTAAGATCTTTTTCTTTTTTTTAAAAAGTAAACTTTGTTATCTATCAAAATATTGTACTGCCAAAGATTTCAATGTGTCCGAAATACATTACTGCTATTCTGAGGTAATAAAAAGATAGGGTTTTAAAAATTAGGTAATTGTATTTACGCAATTTAAAAAAATATGCTGTGGGATTTAAGATCTTTTTCTTTTTTTTTTAAATAAACTTTGTTATCTATCAAAATATTGTACTATGAAAGATTTCAATATGTCCAAAATACATTACTGATAGTCTGAGGTAATAGATATTATATTTTTAAAATTGAAACAGATATGCCAAATATTATTTTTCAATTCTAATATGTTTTATTAAATCTAAAAGTTAGCAAGTATGCTATTGACAATTGGAAATTTTTTCTTGATCTTGAAAATTGAGTGGGTTTGTTAATGTGATTTTGTTTTTCCTTGATTAGGCAGCTGTTGGTTTTGAATTGTGGTCAATGGTAGATGGTATAATGTTTGACAATGTTATCATAACGGATGATCTGTATGTTGCTGAACACTGGGCTGCCGAGACATTTGATTTGAAACGAGAGCTTGCTGACCGTGAAACTGTAAGTTGAAATTGGTAACTCTATCATTATAAAATATCAATATTGTTTTTAATATATCTCTTGTATCAATGATATTGAAAAAGAGAATTGATAAAAATGAGTGTCCAACTGTCCAGAATCTTTCGGATTTGTTCCTAATTTTTAAATCAAAATTGAAAATCTGATATTTTTTTATAAAAAAATCCGAATTTTCGTAAAATTGCAGTATTTTTGCTTTTAAACCAATCTCTTGTTCTGATCACCGCAATCGCGCTTTGTGTGATTATTGTGCTGAAGTAATTTTTAGTAGCTTTTTATTGGAAAATACTAATCCAATAGCCGTTGATGATCATTTCACTAAATTGAATCTTAAACAACTATTAATATTTTTTAAAAAATGTATTGTAGTATTTAAACTCTTGCATCAGAAATATTTGTTTATGATGTAGTTTAATATTTACCTGTGTTTTATAATTTGGAGAAGAATAATTATATATTAATAGGTAATGGTTGTTTTTAAACTATTATACTGGTATTCCTAAGTATAAAATATTAATATTATAAATTTCCCACAAAAGATAGTGTTTATAATTTTTTTTAATAATTTATATAAGGTATTTAAATATATGTCTATTAATGTTATTATTTAATAGTTAAATTTTTGTCTTACTCTCGTAATTGGTGTGTATAATTTTTTTGCATATGATGTTCCTAATTTTTGATTCCTAAGTTTGGCAGCTATGGATATGTCATAAATTGATTTCGGTTGATAAGAAATATGTCTGCAATATTTTAACAATAATATTATTTAACAATATTTTTTCTAGAAAACTCAGATTTGAGTATAAACTTTGGCAGGCTGCTAATTATTTTTTAATCATGTTTCAAGATATACTTAATGTTATAACTATTTGTAGAACAGAAAACTGCTATCTCCTCTTAATTCTTTTCAGCTTATTAACATTAAAAAAAAAGTTTTTTCTTACCATCATTCATACTTAATTAATACCTTAAATATTTAAACACTGAACAATCTTCCTATGTGGCTTATAGTGTGTGGCTAAAACTGTAATTTCCAGCTGAATAATTTTGAAAGAATTCCAAATAATTCTTAATACTAATCATTATTTTTTTTTTTTAAATGTATAATCATTTGAAGACTCAATTTAAAAAATACTCAATGCAAAAATCTTGTCAGCTTACATCAATAAATTACATTATTTATTAATGCAATTGCGATTACATTAATTGCCTTTTTGCCATTAATGTAATTAATTAACAAAAAATATAGTTGTTAATTAATGCAATTACATTACTCAGGGGTCTGTTTAGAAGATATTTGGGTCCGTTAACGGACCCTTCACAAAATATCTTTTTATAAAATCGGACCCTTCACAAAATATTTTAACTTAAAAACAGACCCTTCACAAAATAATTTACCTTTTAATCGGACCCTTCACAAATTTGTTTATCTTCATTATTGTTTTGTTAATGGAATAAGCCCTTCCCAGGAAGGGGGGGGGAGGAAAGACAGATGTAAACAAACTAAGTTTTGTCTTCGGCAGACGCTTCTTCCTTTATTCGTCCGAAATGAATATTCTGTGTTCGGCAGTGTAGGCTAAATATCAAGTATTTGTATGTTGCACCTCTAATTTAGTAGCAGCAATTGCTGTTTAATTTTGAAAATTTAATTTTATTTAAATTATAATTTTGCAGTGTTGGGCATAATCTTGTATCTCTTTACGATTTGAAAACTCCTTGAAAAAGTTTTTTGCAATAACAGGACCCTATTTGCACAAATTCTCAAAAGCAGGACCCTGGTTGAAAGAATGTGACTTAACGTGTAATTTTTTCACAATTTTACGATTTACCTTTCACAAAATGTTTGCACAGACCCCTGTTACTTATTAATGCCATAATTACATTATTAATTTACAAGTCTAAACCGTTATCAATATCATATTTAAGTGCTTTATGAACATTACATTATTTCTGTATTAACAAGTTCTTGCTTGTCTTCAAATACATAAAAAAAAAATATGTTTTATGGTGTACAATGCTTTTAAAAATATTTACAATGTTTGATGGATGTGGGGAGATGTCTGAGCTATTGCAGCATATTATTACTTTCAAGGAAAGAAAAAAAAACAAGTATAGTTTGTCTAAAGTAAGAACTCCCCTTGCCATTTGACCGGACACTATGGTAGTGAGGTATAACCATTTCAAGTAGGGATGCGGGGTCATTGTGTAGGACAGCAAGGGTCTGTCCAGACATTTTGTGAAAGGTCCGCTTTTGTAAAATTGTGAAAAATTAACTAGTAGTTTGCGAATATAAAATAAACGTTAAATCACATTCTTTCAACCAGGGTCCTGCTTTTGTGTATTTGTGCAAATTGGGTCCTGTTATTGCAAAAAACTTTTACAAGGAGTTTTTAAATTTTAAAGACATACTAGATTGTGTTCAACACTGTAAAATTATAATTAAAAAAAATTACATTTAAAAAAATAAACAGCAATTGCTGCTACTAAATTAGAGACGCAACATGGAAATATTTGGAATTTGGCCTGTACAGCGGAACGCAGAATTTTCTTTTCGGACGAATAAAGGAAGATCGTCTGCTGAAGACAAAACTTAGTTCGTTTACATTTGTCTTTCTTCCCCCCCCCTTACTGGGAACGGTTTATTCGATTAACAAAACAATAATGTAGAAAAACAAATTTGTGAAGGGTCCGATTAAAAGATAAATTATTTTGTGAAAGGTCTGTTTTTAAGTTAAAATATTTTGTGAAGGGTCCGTTAACAGACCCAAATTTCTTCTAAACAGACCCCTGGACAGGTTTTGGTTCAGGTCGTTAGAGAAAGGGAATCTTTTTCTTCGGTCTACTGTGTTTGTTCTAGAGTGAAGAGAAGCTACCCTCCCTGAAATGCTCTATTCTTCTTTCCATAGCAGCAGACGACCTCAGACTTTGTGGGAGGTAGTTCTTGCAATTGACAAACTATATTTAAAAAAAAAACTGTTCTTAGTTAACAAAAATGTTTAAATATTCAAAACTCTGTAATTATTTCATGACTGTGTATATTTTTTATTTTCAATTTTTTTAATGTCAGTATTTTAAAAAATTTATTTAATTTCATTATTTATTTTTAATATATGCAGGGTATCCGCACACCTGGAAAGTCATGAATTTCGGTATTGAACAAAATTTGTCATGATTTTAGCTATTTTTTTTTTTAAAAAAATGTGAAAAGTCATAGATTTATGTTGCCGAAAATTTTTATTTTTAAAATGGAATTCCCCTCCCTCGATTTCATGGTGTTCCGAATATCTGAATTTGTAAAAAAAATTCCCACTTAGTCATATTTTATTAAAATATAAAACATTTTTATCATGTTCTTTAAAAAAATGAGAGAAAAAACATCATTTCTAGAGCGAAGTATCTTTTAAACTTCTGTGATTTCCGAATTATTATTATTATTTATTTTTTAAATTCCGAAATGAGAACAGAAAAACCATGAGTATTTCTTTCCTTTCTGATGAACAAGAAAAGTTCAAAAGTATCTTTAGAATATAATTCTGCAGAAAAAAAGAAAAGAAGATTATTTGCTGAGCTATTATTTTTTCAGCTGTTTTATTGCTTCAACTCTTTCTTTACTCTGTTTTTTTTTTTNTTTACCCTGTTTTTTTAATTTAAAATCGATAAATATAAAGATGCAGAGTATAAAAGTTTTGGTTATACCTATCATTTTAATTAATGTTATTATAATGCTTTTTAAACTTATTATTCTGTTTTTGTCCGAGAAGATAATAACTTTCTTAAGTCATGAAAAGTTCTTGGAATTAGTCATGAATTTGAAAATCTAAAATGTAGCAGATATGTTTATGTTTATATTACTGTATATGTTTATATTTTAATGTTGCCTTCATAATGTTCTACAAATGTATATAATCTATTACATACAGTCGTTGTGGAAATGGATTTTACGAAAGACAAACAATCATCCATACTACAGTCTGCTGTATCTATTTTATATTGCCATTCCATTATCGTTATACTTTTATCATCTTCGAACTCGAGTGAAAGAGGTAACTTTGAGAAGTGATAGTTCCTTCAGTATAGAAACCTTTACTTTTAGACATTGCACTCCATGGTCTTCTGCTTTTAAATTTATTATTAAAGCGTCAAATCCTTGATTTTATTTTATTCTGATAATAAACAGTATCTGCATAGATGTTCTCTTCTTGCAATGTGTCTAATTTTAGTTGTCTAAGGCATCTCTTTTGAAGCTTTTCTTAAAATATGATAAAAATTAAGCATAAAATGGAGTAATTTCCGGAATATTATGCATGGTGCGTAGCATTTTTAAAAAGTCCTTAAAGGTGCTTTTTTTCATTTAGTGTTTTTAAAAAGTGCTTAATTTTCCCTTTTCCAAAATGATATTTTTCCTTTACAGTGGTATTTTAGCTGCAAATTATGCAAAAAGACGCAGTTCACATTGTTCTATTCAACGTTTTCACAATTCATTCAACCCCAATCTATTTATGCGTATTATCAGTCCGCAACGTATGAAAAAGCCATTCGTTTTATATGATTTAAAACTTCATGATTTTTAACAATTGTTAAAAACAATGGCAAAAGTTATTATTTTTTTGACATGATGGTTAAAACCAGATAAAACCGTCAATTGTCAAAAACTTTCCAACCCTGCCCAATTATGAAATTTTTTTAAAGTGCTTATTTTTTGTTGAATAATTTGGCTACGTACCGTGTTATAAAATATTCTTTTATATTTAGTGTGGCGACCATTAAAGTTGCCCTATAACAACAATTATGCAAAGTGTAATGTATTTAAATGCTTTTATTACTTCTAGGATAATACCATCACTCGCCTTTTCAAGTACACAAATAAGAATCCCTGGCTTTGGGCTGTTTACCTTGTAGTTATAGGTCTTCCTGTTGTCCTTTTTATTAGTTTTTGTTGTACTTCCTCTCGTTCCCCTGCCACTATTGCTGCACAAAGGGTAACAAAACTACTTTTATTATGATGTTCTACATAGAAACTTTAAAAAGTGGTTGTAAAATAATAAAGACTTTGGTACATGGTGCTTAGCATTTTCAAAAAGTGCTTCAAGGTGCTTATTTTTGATTTATGTTTTTAAAAAGCCTTTAAAGGTGCTTTTTTTATTCGGGGGTTTGTTAAAAGTGCTTGATTTTCTATCTTTTAAAAAGAAATTGTTTCTTTGCCGTTGCTATTGTCGTTTTAAATTGCAAGAAATGCACGATTTTCACAATTTTCTCTGCAATATTTATCAGAAACTAGCTATGTAAAGTTTTTGAAAACTATTTTAAACTTCATTCATTTTATGTTTATAAATTAAGAATTTTAAACGATAGAAGAAGAAAAAATTTATTACTGCACAGATCCTAATTATGAATTTTTTTTTTGGAAAATGATTAAAAATATTTTTTGAGTGCTTAAAAAGTACTTAAAAGGTGCTTATTTTTTGTTGAAAAATCTGGCTACGCACCTTGTGGTAGTAGCATGATTCCTATTTTTAATTTTAAAATAGCATTTTATTTTTCTGTCAAAAGTCAATTGATGATAATTCTACTTTGCCTCCACTTTTTAAAGTTTTCCATGGCCTTGTAAATATTATTTTTGTTTATTTAATATGGTGCATATATATGTTTTTTTATTCATCTAAACTAATATTTATTATTTGAACCCCAAAGATTGATCTTAGGGTCGGTGAGGCACTGCACCCATGTCCGAGAGTCGATGGGTTTGATCCCCGCCAGCCGAAGACTCTCCGTGTAGTAAATGGTGACTGATGCACATAATATCTGTCAAGTCACAAAGTCCTACGTGTTCCTGTAACAAATCATACCTCTGGGGGGTACTGGTTCAGGAGTTTCTTTGTCTGTATAAAGTTATGAAAATCTTAATCGCCTATATGAAGTATCTTTTTTTAATTATGTCCTTTTATTTGCTTTTTAAACGTAATAAGTCTTGCAATCCAACTCGAAAAAGTAATAATGTTTTGCAAGTAAAAAGAATTTTTTAAATAATCAGTCCAGTGTTGCCACTTTGCGGGGAGAATAGAGAATTTTTAAAAAAATACAGAAAATTTAAAAATCGGCTAAAATAACAGGGAATTTTGAATTTTTCCTTACAAACTGCAAAAAAACAGGTAATTTTATTTCTTATTTTAGTCTTTTAAAAAATGTTGGCCTCTCAAAACGCAATCTATGTGATATTTAAAGATGATATTTCAGTTATATTATTTATTTATTATAACATTATTTGTTTTATGTTGAGCTGTTTTTTATTTCTAGACGTATTTCAAGCAACTAAAACTGGCATCTTTATCCTAATATAGTTCACAAAAGCACAGTGAATCTGTTTTCAGTCTTAATATATTGTGTATGGTATATCATACCTGCCAAGTCTCCTGTTTTTTAACGAAAACTCCTTTATTTTATGACTATCTCCTATTTACCTGTATAGTCTCAAATTTCTCTCTATCTTTGGAAAATATTTTTAAAGGAAAAAAAAGTTTGGCAATAAAATATCCGCTGATCAAAATACTTCTTCTTCCTCAACAAACAGTGCTATTGCCCGTACGAAGTATGTTATTTCCCAATATTTGATTGATCCAGGAGTTCCCTTGTCTTCTGGGTTGGGTTTAAAATGAGGAGGCTGTGGAGTTGAACATTAGTAGCCTCAAACCCAAAATTGAGTTGGCTGTTTAACAATGGTCATAAAGTAGTTTAAGTAATTATAAAAAATAGTTTTTAGGTTAAGATTTATATCCGTATTTTTTACTTCGCTAAATATAAGTGCTTGTATTATTTTTAATTTCTCTTTTTGACTTACATAAATATGCATAAAATGACATGACTTACATACAGATGCATCAAAACTTCACTCGTAGCCTAAATAAATGTCTCTAGTAAAATCTCCCTTATTTTATTTTTCAAATGTTGGCAGGTATGGTATGTACAAGGAAAACATAGGGAATATTTTTTTTTTTTNTTTTTTTTTTTTTTTTTTTTTTTTTTTTTTTTTTTTTTTTTTTGCAAATATTAGTGGTAACTATGGGGGAGTAATACGAATAAAAAACCATGAAAGCATATTGAAAGATAGTGCTTCCTTTAAGGGTTCACAGTACCTTTGCAACAATTTTTTAAAATAAAGGTATAATCATTCATTTTGAGGATGCTTTACATGCTCATTTAAGTTATAATCAATAATTTATCTTCAAAAAGTAATTAAAACTGTTGAATTTTTTTAAAATTTTAAAAAAAGTTGAAAAAATTCTAAATTTTTAAATCCCTAAGGCTTTTTTATTTTTGCATATTTTCAAAAAAAGTTTTTTTCATAGTGCTTGCAATATTTATCTTAATAATTTTGTGCATTCATTTGTTGATATTTCAATTAGAATATTTTTTATAGATTATTTTGTAAAAAAGTAGAAAAAAAAG